GGCTCGGCAGGCAGAGCGGCGGCGGGGCCACCGAACGCCGGATTGACTTGCCACCCGCGGCGAACCGAAGTTTTTTTTTGCGGTGAAAAGTTTTGAGTCTCGGCGCCTCCGCGCAAGAGGCTCCTGCCGGGAGCGGCGGGCAGGTGAGGAGGGGCGGCGGCGGGGCGGGGGTTTCCACGCGTGGGCGGGTTGGTTTGGTGCGGGATTTCCTCCCCGGCTCCGCAAACAGCGGCTCCCCCCGGCGAGGCGACCGCCCCAGCCCCGGGAGTTTCACCGGCGGGAGCGGGAGGAGGCAGCGCGGCCGCCCCCGGTACGTGTATCCCGGGCAGCCCCTGGGGAAACGGGGGGTGGCTGGGGGGGAGAGAGACCCCGCCAAGTGGGTCCCAGCACCGGGATTCACTGCCCGAGGGTCGTCATTCCCCTTTCCCCCCGCCCCCGAAAAGCGGGGCTGCGGCTCCTCCCGGGGAGTCCCGGGCTCCGGAGCGTCCCCAGAAGTTGAGGGGACCCCCTGAGCCCCCCGCTGCGGCTCCGCAGCCCGACCAACTTTTCTGCTGACTCCTCATCCTGCTCCCCTCGCCCCCATCGTCACGCATCGGGAATTCGGGGCACGTCTCCAAAAATAAATAAAAAAAAAATAAATAAAAAAAATTGGCTTGTATTGCCTGTGCGTTCCCGAGCAGTAGAGTGAATGATTGGGGCAGACTGCAAGTCTTGCTTGGCATGCTGGTAACACTTCGGTTCGCTGCAGTCAATAAACAAGATCGGGTAATTTCACCAATTTAAAAAAAGGGAAGATCTTGCTTTGACACGGTCCTTTCTCTAATCTTCCCCCATCCTAAGAGAGGGTGAAAAAAAAGTCCGCCTCCAATCCTGCTAGAAGACTGGGAGCCATCAAGCTGCTGTCTCGTGATCCCTGTTTCTGTTTAACTTCCCAAATTGCAGGTGACTTCCATGGGACTGCTCGCTGACTTCCAGCAGTGCTACAGGCAGGTAAGAGCTAAGCATGCCAAAACTGTCTCTGTCTGCTTTGAGCAACCTGCTCTAGTGGGAGGTATCCCTGTTTATGGCAGGGGGGTTGGAACTGGATGATCTTTAAGGTCCCTTCCAACCCAAACCGTTCTATTTCTATGCTGAGGTGCTGCGAAGAAGAATAATAATGCTTTTTCCGTTTTGAAGCGAGCTGTCCTGCAGCTGTAGAATGAAACCCTTGGTATTGGACATTCTGGCAAACCGGTGAAGTTCCAACCCCGTCACATTCAGTACTGGAGTGTCTTCTTGGTTCTCTTTAAGTAAGGAAAGCTTTTAATGAGGCTGGTGTGTTAACCTGCATACTCCTGGGTAGGACTGCTCTGCGCTTACTTATAACACAAGCATAGGTTTTGTTTGTTTGTTTATAAAGAATTATTATTAGAATTGCAGCTTTAAACTAACCTACAGGTGGCTGAGGGTTGCTGTGTGGATTAAACTGATATGGTCCAAAGTTCAGTAGGGTTTATGGGTGAGGAGCAGGACCAGGTAAGTGATTGTATTTGTGCAGAAGTATATCCTCAGAAGTAACACAGGTGCTATGGACTGCTTTCAGTCACCTGGTACAATTCCTATGGAAAAGTTTAATGGCAACAAAAGTGAATACACACTTCTTTACTAAAATGAGTCTTGTTTACATCCACTGCTTCAGTAAGAGGATTATTTTTTTTATTTGGAAATATATTGAAAGGATAATGAGGACCTAGTAACTTCAACAGATTAGGATGGCCAAGTCGAATGCAAACCATATTTTCTTTGCCACGTTATTAATTTCATACAGCATGTTGTATGCTATAAAGTGCATTAATAACAAAATGTAATTGCTATAATAACATTGTGGTCTGCTATGTAACAAGGGAGAGTGAAGTAGAAAAATGTTAAATATGTGCAACGTGGCTGGGTGGGAAGTTACTTTGGGGATGTTGATGTTTGGTATTTCCTGATTGCTCATGAAATTTTAAATTTTTGAGCTCTATTTTTTTAAAGGGGCTTTATTGTTTCATGATTTTCAGTGGGTGAGAGAAGGATGCTTACTTTGTTTCAACAGCTCTGTCCTTTGGAAAGAAATCCTTACGTATTTCATACAAAATATTTCATTATTTCTGTCTTGCGGAACTCTGTAACAAAATCATCTTAACTCGATTTGCAAGGTTGGTAGGTAGTAATCTTCTGTTATTGCCAGTGATAAAAGTTGTGCAGGCCAGATGGTGTCTTCACTTACATTTTGACACAACCTTTTTCTAAGCAGCTCTTCAGGTGAAGAAGTTGCTGAGATATCAGCAGGACTGATGTACCAGTGGGCCTGGGTGCTGGGTATCTCCCTCTTTGGCACCAGGTGCTGAAGTACTGTCTGTCACGGGGTGAGAGGGAAACTCCTCACTGCACTGCCCTGTACTCACACCCTGTAAGTGAGGCCTGCAGATTGTTAACTGTTCCCCCTACCCTGATGTCCCCAGTAGATTCCTATGGAATCTACATAGGAAGGGCTACATTATGAGAATTTTAGTCTGATTTTTTTGTTTGCTGCTTTTTTTCTTTTTTTTTTTTGTATTTCCACAAACTTTCTCAGCAGCACTGAGTTTGGTTATCTTGTTCTGGTTATGCATTCAATAGAAATTTCTGTCAGGACTTTGACTTCACCCAACCGTAATACGCAGCATAACTTGCTGGAGAGATAAAAAGGCAAATACTATCTATTTATTCCTAACGATAAAGCAGAATGAAGACTAGGACTGCCTGATATGAGGCACTGTGCAAGCATTGTTCAGTGCTGGAGCTGTGCCTTGCGCTAGCTGTTGTGAAGCCAGAAAGTTGAGATGTGGACATGGAAAGGTGATCCTGGAGGATCACCTACGCATGAAGTAGGACGCCAGTTAACAGATGAGAAGTGAGGGAGAAAGGGGAGCATTGAATGGAGAAGATATCCTTGCCTCCTTCCGCTGACTGAGCTGAAAGTGTCCTGGGCCAGTGTCCAGCTGGACATTCCTCAGTGTAAAATTTTCTTGCCATGATACCCCAGTGGAGGCATCAAAAAAAGTATTGCTTCTAGGGGTAAGAAAGGAAGAAAAAAACTGTGTGTGGTTGCAGTAGATTTCTGTGTCCTTTTTCTCATTTTGCTTTCATTAAATCAGTTGTGTCTAAGGAGATTCTGAGTGGGTGGGAATTTGTGGTAACCCGCAGTAGTATGAATGCTTTGAGCAGTATAAAAAGCATCTGGTTTGTTCATAAGTATTCTGCTGGCTAACCACTCATCTTAATCATATTTTTTTTTCAGGTGAAAGGGGATTAAAAACATGGGTTTCAAAGTAGTTTGAGACAATCTAATGTTTTGCTTTTATATGGTTTTGATTTCAGAACTAGATGATGATGAAAGTCATAGTGGCAGGGAAATCTTAAGTTAGCCAAATGTACTGCAACCAAATGCCATTGGTTTTGTGTGGTCTGGAATAGGCAGGAGCCAGGAATGGTGTTGGAGGTGCCCCTCTTCAGCTGCAGGTACCTTTGCTTGCCAGGAAGAGAAGGGTGGACAATGTACTGAAATGAGGAATCATGCCAAAAGCAAGAGATGCGCTCTTCCCCATTTTTGGGTGGCCGTGCTATTTCAGTTGCTTGTGTTGGCCCTGTACAGGAATGTGCCTCTCTGAACTGGACCCAAAACACGAACTGGGAAAAATGTGAGGATTTTACATTAGTGGAATGTGAATTCCTGAAACTCTTAAATTTGACAACAGCATTAAACAATTTGGCCTGAGAAGTGAATAATTATAAACTTGTTAAGTTTCTACATTTTTGCTGCAGAGAGGTGTGTGTTGTCATCTGAGGCATGTAGTGTTTTCATCTGCCAGATTAACCATTTCCCCATGACAGGTAAGAACAATATATAGTAATCTCTCACCAGTACTTAGAAGGACTTGAAATTTTGGGATGCGTGGGTCACTATGATGTTTTCTGCGCAGGCATGAGTTTAACTGGATGGGACATTGGAGTCCATACTTCCAAAATAGATGAGGGGGAAGGTTGGGCTAAAGAAAGAGTCAAGCTCAGCATAGGTGAGAGGAACACAGCAGTTTCTTAGGCTGTAGCAGTTTCCCCATAGCAAGCATCCTATTCAGCAGGATGGTCAAGCTATCATCTGGTGGAGCTGTGTTGCCCAGGACTGGGGGCAAAGAAAGATTTACAGCTTAACTAGGGATGCTGAACCTGTGTTTGGGTGCAGCTGATCTCTTTTGAAAATACTTAGGTTGAAAGTAATTGCTTGTTGGCTCTTTCTTCTCAGCCACGAGAGAGTATTCATCTTGATTAAAGAATATTTGCAGGTATTTCCTCTTTGCCAAGATGCTAGAGAACGTTATCCACAACTGTTGCTTTTTAATACGAAAGGAGAAAATTTGTCAGTGTTGTGCGGCCATTTTTCAAGTTCTACTAGAAGTCTCATAGACACAGACTTTTTTAATGCTGCTATCATTTTTTCATATGTGGATTACAAATCACTATGTTAAATAAATTAAACTACTTATTCAAGCTGAAAGGCCTTTAAAAATCTTATAAGGTAGCAGAATAGCTTCAGATTTTGGATGGGTTTGATATATTTAGAATCTAACCTGTGCTAAAATAGATAGTCTTAATTAAAACTAATGTTACTCTTATTTAATCTTAAAACTTAGCCAACACATAAATAACAGGGTTTCATATAAATTAAATTTAAATAAACTAATTTAAAGCAGCATGAAAACTCTTGATACAAAGATAATTGTAGTGACTTTGATGGTGGAGTAAATTGGCTTTAGGGTGTGTTTGGTAGTTTAAAAAAAAAAAAAATGCACCTTGAACTGCTATTTCCTTTTAGGAACTTCTATCCACTCAAAACTGAGACTAGCTTAGTAGAAAAACATCTCTTATCTTATTCACATAATAAACTGCTTGGAACTGCTCCTGATTTTACTGTGCATCCGAAAGGTGATAATGCAGAACTTGTAGATGCTGCTGCATGCAACCATGATGGTGTCTGGACAAGGTCAGCTGTGTATCCTATGCCATCATGGGCCATAGATGTGTGCAATGGGTGGTATTGCTAAAGGAAAAAACAGGGGCACTATTCCTTGCGTAAATCCTTTGCGGGCTGTAGTTTGATTAAACCAGTGTTTCCTGATTTCCTTTGGCAGTAAGGTGCCCACTTCTTCTTTCTGGAGCATTTTTTAGCTGCATGAGCTTCCTGGGTGTCACTGGGCAGGTGTGTAAGCCCTCATGGTGGTGGTAAGAGCTGTCAGTTGGGATGATGATAGCAAGTGGCTGGAGAGAGTAGCGGTGTCAGCCTGCATGTGTCGGAAACGTTCATGGAGATGTGGTGTGAGATACTTTGCCTTCAGCATCATCAGGCCTGAGAAAGCTTTTCTTGTTGGCTCAAGGACATTGGTTTTCAGAAAGGAGGGCTGAAAATGAGACTTTTGTGTAGTCGGAGATGGAAACAAGTAACAAAACCACCCAAGTGGGCTTACTTGGAAGCATGCCACCATTCATTTTGTGTGTCTGGACTGCTCACTTTTTTATTATAAGGAAGTCACGAATCCCAAACAACTTTTCCAAAAGAAACAGATTCCTGCTTTCTAGTACCTGCGAATTATTTCATTTCTTTCAAAGACAAAGATACTCATTGAGACCTTCATGTCTTATTTATTTGGTTGGTTTTTTTTTTTTTTTCCTAATCCAGATGCTGTCAGTCTGGTTACATGAACAACATAGCTTTTGTTCGGGGGGAAAAGAGAAGAGGTTTGTATTCATTGGTCCTTTGACCTTTGACTAATGGTTCTTGAAGCATTGCTTATGCTGGGAAGCTTCTGTCTCGTAAGCAGAGTGATTTCTGAAGACATACAAACAGTGCATTTGCTGCAGAACTTAAGTTAGATACAAAAACTGGGAGCAAAGACCTAAGTAAACCTTTTAGGGTAGATAACGAAGACTTCAGGTCTGAGAATTCCTACAGTGCCCTCAGCAAAGGTGCAATTGATAAGAGCTACTGAAGAGATGGCTGAAAGGAGGCTCCACTGCCCACACCCTTGCAAAAGACATTTCACAGAGAATTCCCCAAGCATTTTCTCCATTTTTGCCCAATCTTCACTTCTTCCTTCCAATCCTGCTCAACAGCTGCCAACAGGTGCATGTACATAACGTGCAGGAAATTCCATCTCTGCAGAATCAAGGCAGGAAGAACTAGATGGAATAAAGCACTGACTCACCTTCCTTCTATGTTTCAGGTTCAAACCAGATACTTCATGACCCATACAAAAAAGACTTCAGACAGAACTTTTACATTCTGTTAATATCTAGCTGTCTTCTACAGTACAATTCCATATAAAATGATTAATATTTAAACTCTTGTTTACATTTTCTGCAGGCGAGTTTGTGCTTCAGAGAAGTGTATAGTTTTAATGGCATAGAATTGGAAAAAAATCTGTAAAGTTCTGAACACAGTTTTGTTAAAATATTTTGTCTCTTTCTAACATAGTTAATTTTTTCATTCAACAGCTATTTTTAATGGTAATTCCTGCTAAGCCTTATGTGTATGTGTATTTTTAGAAACTCAGCAATTACAAATGTAGCAGTGCTGAGTTATTTAAAAATACAAACTTGTGAAACACGCAGTACTTGTACATTTCAGAATTACTGTTAAATGCCTGCATTTTCTTTTTCTGTTTAGTTGGATGTACATGTACTTTAGCTCTGTTCTTTTAACGGATTTCTCTTTCAAATATTTTTCAATAGGCTGTCTTCCTTTAAAAGCTTGAGATTTTCTTTGCATTCTTTGCAGTAGTTTACCAGACACCTGTATCAGATACGCACTTACAAGGGTGCCCATTGTGTTGAATTTTAACACTTTTTCTTTTGCTGTGCAGGCCAGCTTCAACAGCTGCTCTTCAGGTTCTGGTAGTGTGCTCTCAAAGTGAACGCATTCTGATTCATGTTAAGGAGTTGGTTTTTTTATGATGCACGGTATCTTCTGTGTTCTGTTGTTACAAACTGAATTTTATGGCCCCTTTGTGGCGGGTGCAAGTTCTCGGGTGAATTACTTCCTTTTTCTAGGTCCTCTGCTGCGCAAGAAAATAATCTCTGGTAGGATTTTATAGTTGTTCTCATTTCCATTGAACTTAGTGGCAAGAATTGGGTTCTTGACAAGTCCTTCCCACGTCGCAAAATAGCTGAGTGAAAAGATGATCCATTAGTTCTTTTTGCTGTGTTACTGACATATTACGCTGACATTCCCTAACCCTGCAAAACTCAACTTGGATTCATGTTTGAGGGTGAACATCAGAGTATGACTCCCCAAAGCGCAGTCTGAACCACCTCCAATGCACTGTGAGTGGAGAAGCTGTGTTCTGGGGGTGACTGCAGGCATCCTTCCTCGGGTGGATGAGGTCCAGAAGCAAAGGCGCTGAGTTTCCCATCGCAAGGCACTGGTAGCACTGAGAGGCAATCCGGCCACCTGGGGGGACCTCCAGCTGCTGCTGCAGCTTCTCAGCTGTGATGGTAGATGGGTGGTGGTACGCTGCTGTGACACCCAGGCATCTCATTTGGGGTGTCGCCTCCCTCTGTCATGGCAGCGGGCAGTGTTTGGTGGGGTGGAGGTGGAATGGTCTCTGTAGCCACTTCGAGAGGCTTCTGCTTGGAACTCATCCAAGGGTAGAAAGATCATTGAGATTCTGAACAGCAATCTAAGCATTGAAACTAATAGCTTGTAGGAGCTCCTGCTTGTATATGGTATGCTGTTTACACAGTCTCTGGTGAAGAATAAAAATGTTACATGAGAACTAGATCCATCTCTTGTTATTCCAGGTTGGTGTCTCAGGGGAAGGTACTGAAGAAGATGCAGGCACACTGAAAACTTCAGAGAAGTGAGCCATGCGTCCTTCTGAAAGCTGAAAAGTAGCCCTCTGATAGGGTCATGAACCTAAGACAAGTCTTTGTGTCTGTACTGATGTTTGGAGTAGCTGGTCTACTCCTCTTCATGTATCTGCAAGCTTGGATTGAAGAACAACATACAGGTACAGTAGGTTTTCTTTCTTTCTTCTTTTTTTTTTTTTTTTTCCAATGTAATAGCATCCATTACTTAAAAAATGATTGTGAAGTCCAAATATATGTGGACAGTGGGGGGGAGTTCCCCTGTTTAGCAGTAGAATGGCATTGAAAACAGATTTGTTTTAATTGCTACACTTCTTATAAGCATGAAGAAACTTCTTTAGTCCCATGAAAAGATGCCCCCAGCTACCTCATTGTATTGTATCAGCTTCATTTGCAAAAGCAAGTGTTGCAAAAGCATATTGTGCTTGCGTGAAGCCAAGCAAGTCCAGTTTAGAAATAATTCTGTATGCCTATTTTCTGTGGATTTTGTACATTTTACTTCGTGTGGCAAAGCATTTTTTTGAGAATTACTGCTATGTCTTGTAGACAAAAGTGGGCTTCTAAGCAACAATGCTCATATGGAATCACGGAATTGTCAGAGTTGGAAGGGACCTCTAGAGATCCTCTGGTCCAACTCCCCTGCTAAAGCAGGAACGCCTAGGGCACATTACTCAGGACTATCATCACCCTATCCTGTTTTATTTTGCTTGGGACAGAGTTAGATGCTGGACTCACAAGCCTTTTTTAGATACAGCACCAGAGGCATATTGCAATTTCAGGTAAATCTTGTATTAGCATTGGTACAGGAGTACACTCCTGAGTTGAATTTCTGTTGTTCCCCGTATTTACTGTATTTCAGTTTGCACCGCAGGTTTATCTAGATTCTTTTTTGGGTGGAACTAAAACACTTTTTTGGGTGGGAGGACTCTTCACCTCAAGCTCTAGTGGATGCTCAGTTCACGGGACCAGTCTAGAGTTAGTCTGAAGCATATATAGGGTGGATGTCAGTCAGGTCCGTAACATCTGCTGTTTTGCTCTGCAGATCCACTTCTGTTGTGCCATGTTACTTGATGTGTGTCCTTGATTTTAGTTATATACTTGTTTAGGGTTCTGGGTTTTGGTTTTTTTTCTAGGTTCCCCCCTACCCTACCAAAATATGGAACATTCACAACTTGTTAAGAAATCCTGACTTTTATGTCCTCTTGTCTCTATTGCTCAGCTTCCATTTCCTCTGTAAAACTGATACTTTTTAGTATGCTGATACTGTTGTGAAGAAATACATCTGTAAAACCACATCAGTCTTCTGGCTTTATTGATCTGTGCTTTTATTCCATAGGAGCTGCTAGGCTCCGGTACGTTTTAGAGAGCAGTGGTGAGGAGGGAATCTAGTGCACCATTCTTGCAATTGCTTGACAATGACCTTGAATGTTAGTTTGTTGGTGTTTTTTTTTTTTTTCAACTAAGTTCAATGACCACAACATTAATTTCAGCCTGTTAATGTTTCTGCGCCGGTCCAAGGAATTTAGGAGCTTGTATGAACAAAACTGTTCAAAGAGGTAGTACAGACACCCTTTGGAAAGGTTGCCTTGTAACCAACTGTTGACACAAGGGCGCTGGCAGAAACAGAGCGCGTTTCGGGGGAAGTCATCTTCAAAAATCCCTCCTGTTGTCAGGAATGTTAAGGGCGGATATCATTGCTTTCAAGGTAGTCCAGGAATGTAGGTGATTACTGTAGATTATTGATTTATTTGCTTGCTGACATTCTTCACATTCTTTGCATCTTCTCCTGTGCTGTAATTACCCTTTCTTTCCTTGCAGTGCTCCTTGTTGCTATTTCTCACTGTTTTTTCCATTCCTGTCTTATGTCTGTATTTATCTACCATTATAAAGAAATGGGAAAAAATATAATAAAGGGGGAATTAGAACATTCTGTGTTCTTTTGGGAAACCAGATGCTTTCTTTGGGGTTTTCTTTGATGTATTGCTGTAATCTTCTTCAGGAGAGAGGCTTCTCCTTGTACACATAAGTCATTTCCATGTGAAAACATTTCCGTAATGAAATGGAAACTATCGGAGAATAACAGAATGGTTAGTGAGCTTAAAGTGTGACTGCAGGTTTGAGTGCCCTTTTATCTCACTGGACTGCTGTTGTGACTGCACTTCAGCAGGATCCAAAGAAATGAATTTTGACATTCTCTACAGTCACTAGGTCATGCACGTTGGAAAGAGCATGGCATAAAATAATTCTTTGGTGTCTGCTCTTTCCTCCTCTTCTTCCAATTTAACATGTAGAGAGCCATTCTTTTTTTATTTCCAACACCTGTATCTCCTCTAAACCTTCTGCAGCTCAATTCTCTAATGTTCCCCCCTGTATGCTTGCTTAAGAGCCAATATGAAATAAAACATATTTGCATATTCACTACATACATTAGTCTAGTTGTTGGCATTTTACTCTTTTTTTTTTTTTTTTTCCTCTTCTGCAGTGTTTTTCATATTGCCATGTGCTGTGCACTGTGGCTTTTGGGGGGAGGAGATGTGTCTGGAGAATCCCAAACTGACAAGTATCTTTACAAGGATTTTGTGTTCCTTTAATCGTATCACTAGTCGCACAGCTGTAAGACAGCTAGTTTTAATCTGCAAGTGGCTGAGCGTGTGATTTGATGTTCCATTAAGAAATGGAAAGTGCACCTCGTGCTTCTCAACTGCTGTGCTATGAGCCTGTAGAGACAAGCGTTTGTTGTAGGCAGAACTATTTTTATCTTCTGCTGTGCCCTGTTCAAGACCTACAGCATTTGCGTCTGCATTTGGTTGCTGAAGGATGGAAAGTTGGATGTGTTTGAGTCTAGGAAAGTATCTGTTTTGCACCAGTGAGGTGCTCCTGCTCACCATCCCGTTCCTCTGAGTATCTGACTTGCAGACTTTATAAATCACAGTCACTGGAAGAGATAGTGCATTTTACTCGATTGTTTTCTGTAATGTTCCCATTTATTTCTCAGTCTCTCCTAGATGGGGTGTGAATGGTTCCCAATCAGATACAGGTTTTGTGGGGAATCGGAAAATTGTATAGTAATTTACAATTTCCTTGCTAGTGTTTGTCCTACTGTAATAAAGTCAGACTGTTTGCTTTCACACTCACCATTTTCATTGTCACTGTTTCTCTTTCTAGCTGTTTCTAATTTTTCACACTAGACTCAATGCCAATTTTCTTTCATAGTTTGACTCCTTTCTCTATTTTTGGCTTTCTTCTTTCTACTTGCTCTTCACATCTCTGAGATCTCAACTGTGCTTTGATTCCCCTGTTTGTCTGATTTTCCTCTGGACCTGATCTTACGTAAGCATTTATTTTTTTTCTGATTTACTTTTGCAAACTTCTCTCATCACTCAAATTTATCTAGCCCAGGAACACCTTCCCTAATCTTTCATCCTGTCCGTCTACTTCAGATGCACCCGCAGGCTCAGCAGCTGGATGCTCCTCTCAGCGCAGCCACGTCTTTTGCTCCTTCCCACTGTGCTTGGACTCTTCAGGTTATTTCTAGTCACATTTATCATCCCTATACCTTAAAAAAGAGAAAATCTTTCATTTAGAGATGTCTAAACCTGCTGCTAGCTACATGGTTGTCCTCTGATGGCTTTTCAGAGACATTAGCAGACTGAGACAACAGGCGAGTTTCTTGGTTTGGCTCTGTGTGTAGAGCATTTAAAGACAGGATGATGTATCCTTACTTAGATGTAGCAGAGCCCTCCTGTTGGGTGTCGTCAGTTCACCTCAGTGGAGCAGTGGGGAACAGACTTGTCAAGAATAATCCAACGGGAGTGTCAACACATACAGACTTCATCTGGCTGAAAACTTCATTGACATCAACATGGATAATGTAATATATATGGAACTTTTCAAGTTCTCAATATATAAATATATTCACTTACATATAGTTTCATATACATAAGTGAAGCTTGATGGGAATTCAACCAAATCCTACAGCTTTACTTGACAGTTCTCCATACAGTCCTAAATTCTTCAGTGAAAGCATCAAATGTTGTGGCAGCAATTAAAAAAGAATTACTATTTATTACATGCTTAGTAGTTTCCTGCACAGCTAATCTTATATAAGGGAAGGAAACTGCTGGGTCTTCCAGCATTGATGTTGAGTTTTATGCCACGAATCACCTTAATTAGGGAGGTGTGGAGTGCAAGGACACTTGCTGTTTAATCCTGCTATGTTCTAGATGTGAATTGGAGTTTTAAGAATTGAATTTTCTACTTTAAAACTCTTCTTTTTTGGGGGGGAGAGGAAGACTGATATGATTTACTTTGATTACTACAAAATAATCTGAGAATACCTTTGTGAACACATCTGTATGCTGGGCTTGTTGTGTGGGGTTTTGCTTCTCTTAAAGTTTATGTAATTCCTTCTTGTGAAGTATGCCTAGTAAACTCATGATTATGAAGGACTACTTTAGTGTTTCATGGGGTGCAGTATGACCACTAATTAATGTGAAGAAGGCTGGACTGTCTCTATCCTCCTATAAATTGCTGATTCCTGAGGGTAAGAAAGTTGTCTTCTCTTTCCCAGCAGCTTTGTATCTCACCTTAAGGATACTGGGATTTTTCTGCAAGCTTTCTCCTCAATCTGCAGGTGCCAGTTTTGTAGTAGCCTGTGGGTGCTCAGGTATCCTTCTGCAGCCTGCAGTTTTGTGCATCCAGCTCCTGAGCAGCTTTATCACACAGACTTCATCCCCATTTCTCAGGCCACAACTCTTGTTTTTTGTGAAGAATCAGAATAAAAATTCAGATGAAAATCCCGTTTCAAGAAGAGTTTGAAATGCCATGAACTGGCATGAGCTCTATCAATTTAGTCTGCTGTTGCTGTAGCCATCCAGGCTGTATCTGTACTGCTCAGCATAAGCACATTGGCTTTTTTCCCAGCTTTTCCAAACTTGGTAATCTAAGGGGATCCTTGGGTCCTCGGTAACCTGGTGAGATATTCTGAGTCCATGGAGCATGCCTCTTCCTAATGCCTCCAAGCAGCAAATGAATGTGTGCATACACACAGTAATATTTAGTCTTTGTTGTTTGTGTGGGTTGATTCTTATTTAAATCTTGCCTAAACGGAGCAGTGTTGATATGGTTTAAAGGGCAGTTGATA